GATATATTTAAACTGTATCACACTTGTTCTCTCGTATTGAGGAACTGCTCCTAAACTCGTGTTCAGTCTTTTGTCCTGTGTTGATGCTACAGAGCTGCTTTTTAAATATGTCTTGTAAGAATTACAAAAACTTCAACTTCAAATCCTTTAAGTTTGAGTATTTTGAAATCTAAGGGTATGATGCAGGACACGAGTTATTTTTAAAATTTGTATGGAGGTGTTTCGCTCCTCACCGGGTGGTGGCGGTAGTGCGTCGATTCATCGTTTGCACCTGCCAAGAAAAGAAGAAAGTGACGTCAATGCGGAAGTGTGCAGAATGTTTTCCTTTTTCATTCAGTGGATTTTTTTCTGTTCATCAGGAAGATCGAGGTCGTGATGTTCAGGTTAACACTTAGTTAAGGTTACCAGTCTGTTAGTTAAGATTTAAAGTCTGTTAGTTGATCTGGTTAGTTAAGATTTAAAGTCTGTTAGTTGAGTTTAAGTTAAACCCTGTTGGTTAAGGTTACCAGTCTCTTAGTTAAGTTAAGATTTAAAGTCTGTTAGTTAAGGTGGAGTTAAGGCCTGGTAGTTGAGCTGGTTAGTTAAGGTTAAGTTAAACCCTGTTGGTTAAGGTTACCAGTCTGTTAGTTAAGTTAAGATTAAAGTCTGTTAGTTAAGTTAAGACTTAAAGTCTGTTAGTTAAGGTGGAGTTAAGGCCTGGTAGTTTAGCTGGTTAGTTAAGGTTAGCAGTGTGTTAGTGATGGCAGAGAGGAGCAGTGCAGCTCCGGCTGCTCGCACCATGCTGCAGCAGTGTCTTCAGGCCAGACTCCAGGTGAAACCTGCAGAGGAACAGTCCCACGCTCAGTTTGTCCAGGTGAGAAATAAAAAAAGAACTTAAAAACAAATTGAATTATGGCTTCCATCATGTAGATGTAACTCTTATTATTATTATTATTATAACAATCAGTTCCACTTTCACTCGCCTCTGCTTGTGCTCAAACTTTGCTCTTGTAATCTGATTTCCTGCGTTTCAAAATCTGAATGTGATAAATCTCAAACTGAAAGACCACACTGATGAGTAAAGCTGGAAATCAAAACCCCTCAGACTGACACGTGGTCAATGAGGTTTGTTGTCCCGCCCTCAGATCGACAGAGGAATGGTGATCTACATCTGTTTCTTTAAAGGAGCCACAGACGACATCTTGCCCAAGATGGGTCAGTGACCTCTCTGACCTTTGACCTCCATGTTTCCACTCCTCCCTCAAAGTTAGATAAAATAAATATTGTCTCCTCCTCTGTCCAGTGTCCGCTCTGTTGAACCTGCGGCTGTGCGAGTCCGACTCGGGGAAGATGGTGTCGGTGCTGGAGCTGCCCGGCAGCCTGCTGATCGTCCCTCAGGCCACGCTGGGCGGCAAAGCCAAAGGCAGGGCCATGCAGTACCACAACAACATCGGCAAAGAGGAGGGGCTGCGGCTGTACGGCGCCTTTGTTTCTCTGTGCGAGAAAGAACTGACGGCTGCTGCTGCTTCAGCTGGAGTGACGGTGAAACACGGGACGTATGGAAACAGACAAGTGCTGAAGCTGGACACCAATGGACCGTACACACATCTGATGGAGTTCTGAGTTAAAGATGCACATTTAATGCTTTTGTCTGTTTATTAAAGGATCATTCTGGTATCAGGAACAATATTGAACTTTTTCACGACACACCAGTAGAGCTGGAGCTTTTTGTTTAACCCGAAACAGTTGTGATGTCATCACCCTGTCTTCCTCTACCTTGGTCTTTTTCTGAGGTTCTTATGTGAAACTCTTCATTTCTGTGTCAGACTGTGACAATCATCGCTGCAGCCGATAATAATGATCCTGGAGACTGATTCAAAATACGTGTTGGTGACATTAGTGATAGATTGTGTTGCTCTATGGGTCCTCCGGACCTGCAGGGGGCACTCTGGTCTGGTTCAGGAAATGGAAATGAGCATTTTGAAAGATTGGGTTACTGCAGCTTTTTACAACCTGCACTTTCTTCATTTGTCAAGTTATCAGCAAGTTTCCCTCATTTTCCTCAAAATGCTAAAATAATATTGTTTAAATAATAAATGTTTAAAATTCAACAGGCAACAACAACTAAAACTGAGCAAATTCAATCAGAATATACACAAAACAATTCAAAAGTAAAATGTATAAACTAAATGAAAATGTGAATGAAATCTAATGAGTCTGCCATGTGGGAACGAATCCAGTGATACTGCTGACAACTTCCAGTTTTTATCCGTTTGAAAGAATCTAAATAAAACAATAGTATCTTTCAAAAATATACTGAATCTCTGGCTGGTTCTTAGCAATTTACAGTTGTGTGAAAAAGTGCAAATCAGTGAGGACCACTGGGGAGAAGGGGGAAACAACTTTCTGTAAGTTGATCACAGATCATGATTGTGTGATGACTGTTGGATGAAACATCTGCAGCCCTGGATATTTGAAGAGTTCATATGTGACTGACTGTGTTTTTAGTTGATCACGTTCAGTTTAAACTTCTCACACGATAGACATGTTGACTGTAGGTCTGCTCGTTGTAAATAAGGTTTAAACATAAAAGATTGTTGTGGATGTTTCTCTCTGTTAACCTCAGTATCCAGTCTGTCTGTGCAAAACATTCACTGCACATATTGTCTTTTTTATCCCATTCATCATTTTCATACATTTCCAATATTCCTTTTTTCTAACTTACTGATTCCTATTTTTTTGACTCTTGCTTCTTTCATATTGCAAATTTAATAAGGTTTGTCTCATCTCAGTTTATTTTATCCACAGCTTTTATTTTGAAATGTCGCGCACCGGAAGCGCCTCAGTTTCCTGCCGCTAGCGTAAATCTGCGCAGCACCGCGCGTCACATTTTGCCTCAAATTCGACCTGAACTTTCTCACTTTCCTGATTTTATCGGAACTTTTGGACGAAGCGAAAAACGAGACGTTGTTTTTTTGCGCAGTTTTGGTCAAAATCGACGCCCGGAAACGAGACTTGCAGCTGAAAGTTGTCGGGGGTGTAACGAGGATTTGCGTCGACGGGACACAAGATGTTCTGAGGTGGGAACGTTTTTCAGCTGCTTCACTTTTATATCATGGAAATCTAATTATCGTGTTTTTTTATATTTTTTAATTACTCTTATTATTTTATTGATCAGTTAATGAGGCCAAGAGTT